ATTGTATCTAGTGTCGTTTCCGCTTCACGACCATGAAGTAAATAGAACGGCGTAAAACCTGTGGTCTCTTGTTTAGCGGTATTATAAGCGAAGGTTACAAATGGTAGAATTTCATCCCAATTTTTCTGCTCTACATCCACATACATTGACAACATGTCGGCCAAGGTCTTATTGAAGCGCTCCGTCAGTCCATTTGTTTGGGGATGATACGCCGTTGTGAAACGATGATCAATGTTACACAAGTCGACGAGAGAGAAACAAGTCTGGATCGAAAGACGGCTCCACGATCTGTGATAATTACTCGAGGAGCTCCATGCCTGAGGACAATTTCTTCAAGTAAGAACTTCGCTATTTCGTCGACTTCGGCTGTCGGCAAGGCTTTTGTTATTGCATATCGTGTTGAGTAATCCGTGCAGACTATTATCCATTTGTTTCCATGAGCAGACTTTGGAAATCTCCCAAGGAGATCAATTCCAATGCGATGGAAAGGAGCTATAGCTGGAGGGATGGGAACTAAACGTCCAGGTGGTCGTTGAGGAACGGACTTTCTCCTTTGGCACTCCCGACAATGCATGACATACCGAACGACATTTCGGTACATTCCCGGCCAGTAAAATCTCTTGCGTATCCTGTCATAAGTTTTCGCGAAACCAAGGTGTCCTGCGGTGGGGGCGTCATGAAAGTGCCTTAGTATGTCTGCTCGTAGATGTTTAGGAATGACTGGCAACCACAACTTTCCATCTGGATCAAAATTCTTCCTGCAAAGGATACCGTCGATAAATCTGAATTCTTCGTTTTTGGATGAGTTGCTCAAAAGTTTTAATTTCGCAAGGTCTTGATCCTTTTTCTGTTCCATCGCAAGGTTCATACTCGTCGTGACTGCTAAAAATTTGTCTGATGTTTCCGTTTCCTCTTCCACTGGATTTCTCGAAAGAGCGTCGGCGTCACTATGCTTCTTACCGGTTTTATATTTTACGTCAAAATCATGCTCTTGAAGTCGGAGGGCCCATCTGGCAAGCCTTCCTGAAGGATCCTTTAAATTCATGAGCCAGCACAAGGAATGATGGTCAGTTACAACAGTAAAGTGTTTTCCGAATATGTACGGCCGAAATTTGTTGGTAGCCCATACGATGGCAAGACATTCCCTTTCTGTGGTGGAATAATTCTTTTCGGCTTTTGTCAGAGTTCTAGAAGCGTATGCTATAACTTTCTCGACATTATTCTGAATTTGTACTAGGACAGCTCCGATACCGTACCCGCTTGCATCAGTATGGATTTCTGTAGAAGCTCTTTCGTCGTACATCCCCAATACTGGATCCATAGTAAGTGCTTTCTTAAGACTGTTAAATGCTTCCACCTCTTCAGGACCCCAATGAAACTCCACGCCACTTTTCAGCAACGACTGCAAGGTTCGGCGAGATAACAGAAACCTTTAATAAATCTTCTAAAGTATGAACAAAGGCCAAGAAAACTTCGTATGTCATGTATATTCTTTGGAGTGGGAAAATTTCTTACGGCTTTTATTTTGTCGGGATCGGGACGAACGCCATTACTAGATACAAGATGGCCCAGAAACTTTACTTCTTGGGCAGCAAAAAGACACTTCTTTGAATTTAATTTAAGACCAGCTTCCTGAAGACATTTTAGAACAAGTCTTAATCGTATAAGATGGTCTTCAAAAGTTTCTGAGAACACTATTATGTCATCTAGGTAACAAAGACACATAGTCCATTTAAAATGGCGTAGCAAATTGTCCATCATTCTCTCGAAGGTCGCAGGTGCATTACAGAGACCAAACGGCACGACTTTAAACTCGTATAAGCCTTCGGGGTAATAAATGCCGTCTTTTCACGATCCGCTTCGTCTATTTCTATTTGCCAATAACCAGATCGGAGATCCATGGAAGAAAAGAACATGGCACCTTTCAGACAGTCGAGCGTATCGTCAATACGAGGCAGAGGATAAACGTCTTTTTCGTGACGCTATTCAGCTTGCGATAATCGACGCAAAAACGCCAACTACCGTCTTTTTTTTCTTACGAGCACAATGGGTGATGACCAAGGACTTTCAGAGGGTTGGACGATACCTTCATCAAGCATTTTCTGAACCTCTTCATGAATGATGCGTCTTTCAGTCGGCGAGACTCTGTAGGCTCGTTGGTTGATTGGAGCATGATCACCAGTAAAAATCCTGTGTTTCACATTCGTCTTCGCGGCTGTCGACTTGTCGGTCTTCGTGAAAAGCCCAGAAAATTTCGGAGTAGTTCGGATAGCTTGTTTCTCTGTTCGTCACTTAACTCGGGTGACATCATTAACGAACAATTCATCTGTGACTCCGAAGTTTCTTGCTGGTCATCAAGCAACCCGATGTGTCGGAAATAACACATAGATGCCCTTCATTTAGTGGTTCAGCTTGGCCTATGCACATTCCTCTAGGGATGATTTGGTTTCGGAACTGCAGGTTGGTAACCCAGACATCACTTTTCCGTTACGATATGTGGATACCATGGACGGTGTAGCAATATTTTTTCTCGAAGAGCAAATGTTTGCTGCCGTCTAGAACTACATTTATGTCTCCTCGGGTTTGATATCCTGATACTGTTATTCTAGTTAAAGAATGCGGCTTAAGTGTATAGTCCCTGGTGGCATACAAATTCCAGGCGTCAGGCGCTGTGGAGTTTCGACAGATGTCTTCTAGAACAAGTTCATTTTGTCCACAGTCTATAACGGCTTGAGACGCCTCTAAAAAGTCCCATCCTAGGATGACGTCATGGCTACAATGTGATAAAACAATAAATTCAAAAGGCAGTTCTCGATTGTTTATACGGACACGTAAAACACATTTCCCTATCGGCCGAACAAAATTTCCATCCGCAACTTTCAGCATAACGCTCTTGGCATCAGCAAACAGAACTTTCTTTAAAAATCGGCGATACTTATCGGATATGACAGAAAACGATGCCCCAGAATCTACTAGAGCACGTATCAGCTTCTTATCTATTATTACGTCTAGTTGGTTACCAGTCATCTTGGCGGTCGACGGAGGATTTCCAGTACACGCGGCCTCACCTCCTTGGAAGGTCGCTCTCCTTAGTTTTCCTCGCTCCTACGGCCTGGCGACTGACTGGATCGGCGATATGGCGACGGGGATCTGTAACGACGTATTGGGGATCGGCCTCTAGTGGGACTTGGCGTAAAACGGCGAGAAGAGTTTGGTCGGCGTATTTCTTCTTCAGTGCCAACGTCGTCGAAGTTCCGTCGGCGGTTTCGAGAGTTGTCAAAGACAGCCTTTCTCTCTCGGCAGTAGCGCATTACATGTCCAGGACGTCCGCAGTGGAAACAAACAGGTCTGTTGTCAGCCGTTCTCCACACATCTGTTTTCTTGGTTCAGGAGGAAATTTCTGAACAGGAGCTCTGTATTTCCTGGTTACAGCGGCGTATGTTGGTCGTGGTCTAGTTTCTGTAGGTTTTGTTGACACTGGGGCCAAAACCCTTTTAACTTCGTCTTGAACGATCTCTTCTAAGGATTGGGGATCGGAGTCCAAAGATTCTTGCGTCTGGTTAACTAGTCGATGGACTTCTTCTCGTACGATTGTGCGAATAAGAGAGACCAAATCAGTCTCATCCATCAGGGATGCAACCGGTACGACGTTTGGAAGCCTTTCAAATCTCGGTCGACCAACTCTCTTCTGCTTCATATCTTCGATATAGTTGCACCATTTGATAAAACTTGCTGTGTCGTTGATTTCTCTCGTCAATAGGGCCTGATAAATATCCTCAGCAACACCTTTCATTAGGTGTGACACTTTTTCGTCTTCTTTCATCAGAGGATTTACCTCTTGGCAAAGTCCTAATACACTTTGTATGTAGGACTGTGTACTCTCGCCTGAACGCTGTGTGGGCTCGGCATTTTAGTTGTTCTTCTGCCCTTCTGGTATATTTTTGACGGTCACCGAAAAGTCCACTTAGTCCATTTTTAAACGCTTCCCAGGAATCTAAGGCGTCTTCGTTGTTGACATACCACTGTCTCGCAGTTCCGTCAAGAAAGAAATAAACGTTAGCCAGGCACATCATGTCATCCCACTTGTTAAAGTTGGCTACTCGATCGTACTCTTTAAGCCATTTGAGAGGGTCTTCCCCAGGCGCTCCTAGGAAGGTCGATGGGCTCCTCCATTGCTGTAACGAAGGTGTTACTACAGCGGGCTTGGCTTCTTGCTCGGTCGGCATTTTTGTCCTCTTCCTACTATTTTCTTTTAACAGTCCGAATTCGGGGGATAATCCTCTTAACCGGAGGCTCCTGCGAAGGTTGTCACTATTATCCACGTTTGACGTAATTGTACCCCGCGCCTCCACCAAACTTGTCACGGAGTTCGAAAGAAGTACACAGTTCAATTAAACAAACAATTAGATTTATTCTAACGCTTGGAGCTCGATACAACACTGGACTGAGAACATGCCCAACTGGCGATGAACTCTGCTTTTATACACTTCGGAATATTCGAGAAATAACCAGTATGCACTCTAAAGAATGATCTGGATTCATCTAGAACCTAGAGAAACAATACATTAAAAACGGAAACAAAATTCCAGTCTTTGGATAAATCTGCCGGGGCCGGGATTCGAACCCGAGACCTGAGGAAGTTCAGTCCAACGCTCTGCCAACTCGGCTATCGGGACTTGTAGCAAATTATGCGTGTGGCAATATATGTATATATATACACATATATAATAAGTCTATTCCTACTTAGGTCAACAAAGACAAATTTTATTTTAGTTACTTTTTATTAAATATTTACAATTCATATAAATATGTACATACATGTGTGTGTGTGACAGAATCAAATATTAAGTGACAAAACAGAGAATGCGATTTTCCTTGCCATTTTCCTTTCTATGTATGGTGTTGGACTATTTTTTTGTTACTATTTATTCATTAACTAAATTTAATTATTCTAATAAAGTTGTATAATAAAAAAGAAATCACATTCTCAGATATTAGGCCCTTTCAGGTGGGATTCGAACCCATGACCTTTGGATTAGAAGTTCAACGCGATATCCATTCCGCTACAGGAAACAACTAATAATTTTCCTTTCTATATATGGTGTTTGTTCAGTGTACGTATGTAAATGTAGAGCGCCCTCTAGCGCTCAGAGTGTCTAACGAATCTGTGTAACCTCTGACTCCATCGAGTAAGGAGTCAAATCGAGCGAGCTGAGCAACAAGTAACAAAAACTACAGTCCACTTACTGAGAGAGACCTTTTTCTTGAGTTTTACTTGTGTACCCAACATTCTGGTCCAGTCTCAACCGGAGAGACCTATGCATTGAAAATACGAGGTATGTGCTGTTGTTTTTTGACTTTCGTTGAAAAATCGAACTTTAAACTTTAACGATGTTTAAAGGAGCAAAAGAAGACGAGGCGAATCGCTTCTGAATTAGAGTTGTGTCAGTGATAAATTAACCGTTTTAGACTTCATGGATCTTATAAAAAACTGTGATAAATACAAAAACGATCCTGATTCAGTGCATGAGTTAGCAAATTTAATTATCGAAGAAAGGAAGTATGACGAAAGTCAACAATTAGAGCTAGAAAAAATAAGAGAAAAGTCTAAGCTTGAATTAGAGATAGCGAGAATACGAGCAAATGATAAAGACAATAATACTGAAGTTAATTGTAATGATTCCTTTTCTGTGGATTCTTTAATTAAAAGTATCCGCACACTTACAGTGAAAATTCCCGACAAACCTGAGGGGATGGAGTTTCTTTTTTTTATCATTAGAACGTGCATTTGCAGCCAAAAGTGTTACTGATAAATTTAAGCCTGAGATTTTGTTAAATTTATTAGGAGAAAAGCTGCAAATATCATTATATATCTGAACGATGAGGATCTTAAAGATTATGATAAAATAAAGTCCATAATACTCAAGAATTTGAGCCAACTCCTCAATCGTGTTTAGAGAATTTTAAGAAAGCAACACGGCAAAATTGTGAATCCCATGTCCAGTTTGCGGTAGATTAACAACAAATTGGGAATACTATTTAAAATTGAGAATGTTTCAAATTTCGAGGTATTAAAACAATTAATAGTTTCAGACAAAATATTTAGTACTTTAGATAAAGAAACCGCATCGCATATTAGTGTCAGACAAGCAGATAAATGGTTTGATCCTTTAACGTTGGGAAAAGAAATTGATTTATTTTATTCATCACGAGGAAAACCACTGAGTGTGAATATTAATTATTGTCGCAAAAATCAAAATTCTAAAAAATATGTCTAGAGTATTTTTCTCAGATGTCAAGGGAAAAAAATGTGTTTGTGTCAATCTGATAGTCATTTTTTAAATAAATGTCCTCAATATAAGCAATTATCAGTAAATAAACGGGTAGAACTTCTTAAAAATAATTCCTTGTGTTTTAATTGTTTAAATTTGCATAGAGTCAAGTTTTTGTAAATCTAAAGTTCTTTGTAAATGCTGCCAAAAAAAGCATCATTCTTCTTTGTGTTTCTCTGGAGACCCAAATTTTACGAGTGAAAGGGTCATTCAACCTTCTTCATTGGGGGGCAGAAAGATCCGGAAACAGAGGAATCCTCGATGAGTCAACTTTCAGCGAAGGCGTCTGTGTTCAAACCCATAAATTACATAGGGAGATTTCGAAAGAGGTGTCTTCTCAGGGTGTAGGAGATCTGTTTACTGCAACGAGTTACGTAAAATCGAAATCCGTTTTACTTTCAACCGCGATTTGTTTCATTAGAGATTCCTTTGGGAAAATGCGGGAAGTCAGAGCACTGTTGGACGGTGGTTCGACAAGCAATTTTATTTCGCAACAGTGTATGAATAGACTCAATTTAAAAAAGAGAGAAAATAAACATTTTAGTTTCAGGATTAAATAATTCAGAGTTAACGATTAAATCGCGCGTTAATGCAACAATTGCAAATAGAGGAAATAGTTATGAAACTAATGCAGACTTTTTTGTAGTGCCGCGAATTACGGATATGATTCCTTCTCAACCATTTAACGTTAGTTTGGGTAATTTCAGTAGAGAGAAATTAGCGGATGAAAATTTCAACATTCCGGGAAATATTGATTTATTGTTAGGAGCAGAAATCTTTTATGAAATTTTTTTACCAGGACAAACAAATCTTTTAAATACAAAATTAATTTTTCAGAATACAGTCTTTGGCTATATTGCGAGTGGGAGTATTCCAGTTTCTAGTGAAAATAAACCTCACTGTGGGTTAATCAAAGATAATGTCGATTTAGAAAAGACAATGAGGAGATTTTGGGAAATCGAAAATGTTGAACCTGAGACAATAAAAAATAAGGAAACGATAATTTGTGAGGAGCATTTTCAAAAAATCATGCTAGAGATAGTACGGGAAGATACATAGTATCTATGCCATTTAAAAAGGATCCAAATTGTTTAGGCCAGTCAAAAGATATTTGCCCTTAAAAAATTAAATTCTTCATGGAATAGATTAAAGCGTGAGCCTAACTACTTAAAATTATATAGAGATTTTTTAAAAGAGTATAAAGAGCTAGGCCATATGCAAGAGATAGATGAGAGAGAGGAGTGTGGAATGTATTTCATACCACATCTTGGTGTTTATCGCTCTGATAAAAAAACAAGTAAATTGAGAGTAGTTTTAATGCGTCGAGTGCAACTACAAACGGTTATTCTTTAAACTCTCTACAATACAATGGGGAGTTGCTCAAATGACCTTTTTCAATAATGGTTCGCTTTAGAAAGCACATATTTGCATTCATTGCGGATGTGCAAAAAATGTATCGAATGATTTGGATTAATCCAGATCAGCGTAAACTTCAGCGCATTCTGTGGAGAGAGAACATGGACGAACCAATAAAAACGTTTGAGTTGTCAACTGTGACCTATGGAACAACGAGTGCACCATTTTTAGCGACACGTACGCTAAAACAATTAGCCCTAGATGAAGCAGGGAATTTTCCATTAGGGTCTTCAGTTGTGATGAGTGACATGTACATTGATGATGTACTTACCGGTGCAGAGACCTTATTAGAAGCAAAAGAACTGAAAAATAAACTGATCAATATCTTCGCTAAAGGAGGTATGGTTTTGCATAAGTGGTGCGGAAATAATACGGAAAATGATTGTGGTTTCCGAAAATTATGATTTTCAGATTCATCAGAGATAAAAGTGTTGGGTGTTTATTGGAACCCCAAGCATGATTGCTTCTCCTTCAGAGTAAAAATAGACTTGCACGAATTAAATACCAAACGGGATGTTTTGTCAACCATCGCCAGGATATAGGATCCTCTAGGTCTTTTTAGGTCCTGTGGTGGCGAAGGCGAAAATCTTCCTTCAAAAATTATGGATGCTAAAGATTGATTGGACAGATTTGCTTCCAGATACAATCAATAGAGAATGGCGACAATTTGTCCGAATCACTCCAGGTAGTAAATGACATCAACATGAATCGATGCATTGTGGTAGAGCAACCGGAAGTGATCGAGCTGCATGGATTCTCCGACGCGTCCCAGTCAGCATATGGAGCTGTCGTCTACGCAAATTCATAACCTCAGATGGAAAGATGCTTGTGCATCTTATTGCCAGTAAATCCCGAGTTGCGCCTACCAAGCAAACAACGATTCCCAGACTTGAGCTATGTGCCGCTGTGCTGTTAGCAAAATTAGTGCATCGTGTCAAGCAAGCTTTAAAATTAAATGTGACTAATACTTTTCTTTGGAGTGACTCCATGATAGTTTTGTCATGGATAAGGAAGGAGTCATATCAACTAAAAACCTTTGTGGCTAACAGGATTGCTACAATCCAGGAGATGACTTCCAGTGAGCAATGGCGTTATGTGGCAACAGAGGACAATCCTGCCGACTTCGTTTCCAGAGGAATGGATTCTCTAAAACTTAAAACCTGTGAGTTGTGGTGGAATGGTCCTAAATTTCTGATGAGCAAACAGTACCCACAACGACAAATTCCTGTTGCAGTGATCAAGGATCCAGGTGAACTTAAAAACTGTAGTGACTTTTCTAACTTTTTTCTTGATTCTGCTACTAACTCTTTTGTAAATATAATTTACTTAACCTTAGTAATGACTATTTTAAAATTATTCGTGTCTTAAGTTTTATTTGTAGATTTGTTTATAATTGTAAGAGCAAAGAAAGCAAAGGAATTGGACCCCTAGAGTTAGGAGAATTAAAAAAGGCTGAACAGCTTTTATTGAAATTAGTGCAAAAGGAAGAGTTTAAAGTAGAGATGAATGGTATTCAAATTCTGTCATGGTACCTTCCAACAGTCAGTAAAAACACTCAATCCATTTATTGATAGTGAAGGGATTTTGAGAGTTGGAGTTCGATTGAGAAATAGTGATATTAATTATAACCAGAAATTTCCAATTCTTTTGCCTTCGAAACATAAATTGACTTATTTAATAGTTGAGTATTTTCATAAAAAGTTTTTACATAGTAGTCCACAATCCTTGTTGTATCAGATCAGGCAAAATTTTTGGATATTGAATGGCCGTAATATTTGTAGAAAAGTTGTTCATAATTGTGTAATTTGTTGTAAGGCCAATCCTACTTACACTGATCAAATAATGGCTGACTTGCCAAAGGATAGAGTTATCAAAAATTATCCATTCAATGTGTCAGGTGTGGACTTCTGTGGCCCCTTTTTACATTAAGTATAAAGGGCAGAGAAAAGGTGTATATAACAAAATCTATGTTTGTATATTTATATGTTTTGTTTCTAAAGCTGTGCACTTAGATATTGTGACTGATTTAACCTCTAATGCATTTATTGCTACACTTAAGCGTTTTATATTTAGAAGAGGTAAATGTGCTAAGTTGTATTCTGATAATGCAACAAATTTTGTGGGTGCAAATATAGAACTTAAAAAAATGTTTAATTTGGGGTGTAAACCTGATGAGGCACTTGCAAGTTATATGGCCTCTGAAGGAATAGATTGGAAATTCCTCCCCCCTAGAGCCCCAAATTTTGGAGGTCTCTGGGAGGCAGGCGTTAAATCTTTTAAGTTCTATTTAAAGAGAGTAGTAGGTAACATTAGATTAACAT